TTCTGTAACATTGAATAAGATTAATTTTACTACAGGAAATATAACTTTCGGTGTTAATTGTGTGTACAGGGCACTTTCTACAAATGAAAACATGTTTACAGGATATTGAGGCATATTTTGAAAGTAACTTCAGATAAACAAATCGAAATTTCCGTCGGCGACACAAATTTTAATATTTGTGATAATGACAAAGAACTTTCAAATCTATACATTTTAACATTAAATCGTTTTGGCTTTTAGTCCTTGATAAATTGCTATACCACTGTAACAACCACAACTTCTTCACGCATTTATCATAATTTTCATTAGAAAACCGTTGAAGGCAGAAAGATAAATTCACAAGCTTTTGTCCTGAACTCAGATTTGACTGATCATTATCCTGTAATGCTTAATCTAACAATGGACACACTGGAGAATTATCTCTTACAGGAGGGCTCTAGGAGGAGAAATGAAGTACAAAAAGTTGATTATAGAAAACTTATTGAGTTATTTGAAAGACAAAACTGGCAAAATGTACTTAGTTAGTTACTACAAAAACAAAATAGGAAATAATAAAAACAATATTGAAAAAATTGTATCTGAGGCTACTGATGAAGAAAAAAATAAAAATAATAATAAAATTACCATTTATTCCGATAACAAAGAAGAATTTGAAACGGATAAGCAAATGGCCATTTTTTATAATAAATTTTTAATTGAGGTGGGTACCCTAATGGCAGACAGAATCCCAATAGAAAGAGAATTTAAAGTTGACTATACCTCTAATTCATCACTATTTTTGTATCCAGTTAGCCCTAAAGAACTTATTATTCAAATTAACTCCTTGAAAAATGACACCTCACCTGGGATTGATGATATCCCATAAAAAATTATAAAAATGTTTAATTTGTATAGGTCCCTGAACAATTTAAAACAACGGTTGTTAGTCCCATCTATAAGACAGGTGATAAACATGATATCAATAACTACTGTCCTATAAGTGTCATGAATAATATTGGCAAAATCTTTGAAAAATGTCTGAGAGATTTTTACAATTTCTAAATAGTAATAATACCCTAAGTAAAACCCAGATTAGTTTTGTCAATGGACTGTGTACCTGCGATGCTATGTGTGAGCTGGTTGGCCAGATAACCGCGGACCTTGATAATGGAAAAAAATACAGCGGTTTTCCTTGATTTGGCGAAGGCCTTTGACACGATTCCTCATGACATACTTTTAAGTGAACTTGAACAGTACGGTGTCAGAAGGGTCGTGTTTGATGTCTTTAGATCATATCTGATGTATAGGAAACAAAAACTGAAAATCAGAAGCTCGTACAGTGACCCTCTGAGTGTTATTATGGGAGTTCCACAAGGAACAGTCCTAGGTCCAATTTTATTTATAACCCACATTAACTCGATTCTGCAATTTTCAGGGGAGTGTTGGGAAGAGGTGCAGGGACGTGTGGAGACAGTCTTACAATATGTGGAAAATGGCTAAATTACTTAAATACAAATAAAACAAATTATATAGCGTTTTCTCCAATGTCGGCTAGCCGTCCTGATTTCTCCTCGATTGCTGTGACTGGGCTAGAGAGTCCTATACACGAGCTGTCTGATACTAAATATCTGGGAATAATCATAAATAGGAATTTAAAACAAGAAAAGCATGCTCTAAGATTGAAGAATAATGTCAGAAAATTAATACACAAATTTTATCAACTATGTGAAATGAATTGCATGGTTGTGGAATTACCATTACATATAAGAGAATCACCAACATTTTGCCCATTTTCACAAAAAATTTGAAAGAATTATTTATTTATTTATTTATTTATTTATTTACGGGCAAGACCCATTAAAAAAAAAACAACAAGAAACATTAAGTACCTTACAACTAAATAAACATAGGCCAGTAATACTTGGCGTAGTGACAGGATAAAAATACATATAAATTATTAACAGTAAAACATTAAATCAGTTATAGGTATAAGAAAATAGAGGACAAACATAAATAATGACTGATCAAGATGACTAGAAATTCTTAGCTATCGAACTTGGCATCACAAACAAACAAGGAGAATTACATTAGAGAGTTAAGCTCTCTTTTAAAGCTATTTATGGGTCCAAAAAAATCCAGGCTACCATGGGTGTTACCTAATCGAGAAGTTCTGGAGATGAATGTATTGAAACCATAGTTTGTACGGTGATTTCTTTCTGAGAAGGTTATGGCAGAGCGGGTGTCCCTTGCTGGGACGTGAAGCCCTATTCTGGACAGTAGGTATGCGGAATCACTAATGGAGTTCAGTACCTTGTAAAAAGTATATAAATCTCTTTGATTGCGTCTAGCTGCCAAGGGTTGTAGATTGAAGCGTCTGTATAGGTCGTCATAGTCATACACATAGTTCTCAGGCGAAGGAATACCTGCCTTGAAGGCTAAATAACGTACGAATTTGCGCTGCACTAGCTCTAGGGCTCTGATATGATTAGAATACATTGGTGACCAGACAGAGGAGCAGTACTCCATCAGGGGCCTCACCATTGAGCAATAAAGGTATCTGATAGAATCTATGCTTGTAAAATCTCTCGAACACCTCTTAATGAAGCCTACAAGTTTTAACGACCTTGTTGTGATGTCTGAAATATGGGTGATAAAATTGAGACTGCTGTCAAAAATGACACCAAGATCTCGTTGTTGTGAGACAGTTTCAAGCGGAATGTTGTTTATATGGTACGCGAATTGTGGAGGGCTACGACCCTTGGAGAAAACAATGGCTTTGCATTTGGAAGCATTGAGCTCCATGCCGCTCAAAGCGCACCACTCAGAGAGTCTGTCGAGGTCAGATTGTAGTCTGGCACAGTCTTCAATAGAAGAGACCCGGGTGAACACCTTTAAATCATCCGCAAAGCACAGGAACTCACTGTTAATAAAACAAGACTTGATATCGTTAATAAAAACGTTGAACAGCAGAGGTCCCAAGTGAGAACCCTGTGGAACGCCCGATGGGATGTCAATTTCGTGTGAGAAGAAGTTGTTAACTTTGATTATTTGAGTTCTCTCCCCAAGATAGTCGCTAATCCACTTCAACAAAGTACCGGAGATTCCAGCACTTTCAAGCTTAGCAAGCAGAACGGCATGGTTGACACGGTCAAAGGCCTTTGCAAAATCGGTATATATGGAGTGAACTGATTCGCCATCCTCAAGAATTCTTGAAACTTTGTCCTGGTAGGACAGGAGATTGGTTTCAGTTGAGCATTTTGGACGGAAACCGGTCTGCTGCTCAATTAGACAGGGATTGATTTTTGGAGTTAAAAACTTTGTCACTATGCTCTCAAATACCTTTGGGAAGGTGTTTTGGATGATAATGGGTCTGTATTTTGAAATATCCATTTTATCGCCAGATTTATGAATGGGTATGGTGAAGCTCTGCTTCCAGAGTTTAGGAAATTCACCCAAACTGAGTGACTTGTTGAATATATGTTATATAATAATAATTTTGTCTTTCTGTAGTTCAATGTATAGATCAAGTTATAGATGGATAATAAATTAGATAATTTCAAAATAGCAACAGTTTTGGTACTGTGTAGACTTCATTGAACCCATAGAGAACAAATTTCTTCAGCTCATTGGTCTTATCAGGCAAAAGGAGGAATGCACCATTATGATGATACAAAATCCCGGTTGAACCTTGAAACCCTGAAAACAAGGGGGTTCGGAAATGATGATGAAGAAGGTAACTCCTGCTCTAAGATCTTATATAACTGAATGTTCGAAATAGACAAACCCACTGAAATATATGTAGTGCCTAAAAACTCAATAGTACCAAATTCATTATTTAATGTAATTTTGATAAAATTTTATATTGTTGTATTTATTTATAAATAGAAAAATATAAAAAGATTATAGGTATCTAGGTGAACAAGAAGCTGTTCATGATGATTAATTTGGCCATAGCTATTGACAAGTAACTAGAAGCAATTAAATAAATCTTATGATTAATTATTGTCAGCGTGAATTTTTATTAAAAACGAAATGAATCATCATATTTTTTTCTGGATATTGTATTTGCCAAATCTCAAAACATAACAATTACTGATGTCATCTGGTAAGTGTTAGTTGGGGAGCTGGCGTCAAAAACATGCAAGAGTTTTCGCAAGGCGGATATTTTCAAAATAGGTCGTACTTTAGTGCTAGAATGCTAGTGTACAGTCAGCACTCACAGTTCCGGGACAGCTGGCACTGGGACGCGGGCAAAGTTGTGATTTTAAGAAGCATCTAAACTGTTTTCTCAAAGCTCAAAATTTATAGAAATTTTGCACATTATCTGTTTGAAGGTCACAGATAAACGTATGTAAATCGTCAGACGTCTAGTTCGTTGCAAAAAGGGGGTCAGACGTCCTCAAAGTTCTTATTTTATGGCATTTTCTTCGGTGTCCTGTCAAAATATATTTTTGCAGGTATTTGACAAATATATTTGAAGAAAATGCCATAAAATAAGAACTTTGAGGACGTCTGACCCCCTTTTTGCAACGAACTAGACGTCTGACGATTTACATACGTTATCTGTGACCTTCAAACAGATAATGTGCAAAATTGCTATAAATTTTGAGCTTTGAGAAAACAGTTTAGATGCTTCTTAAAATTACAACTTTGCCCGCGTCCCAGAGCCAGCTGTCCCGGAACTGTGAGTGCTGACTGTACACTAGCATTCTAGCACTAAAGTACGACCTATTTTGAAAATATCCGCCTTGCGAAAACTCTTGCATGTTTTTGGCGCCACCTCCTGGACTATTGATCCGATAATAACCCAAATTAATAATCGAATTGATTGTAGTAGTTGCCTTACTAGTTGTAGTAAGTAATATATATAACTTATTTTGTAATAATTATCAAATGATAAGAAAAGTGCCTTATCAATCATAAATGTCAAGTTGGTCACGATGATTACTTTGTCCCAGGTTGGTAATCAAAACAAATGATTAATTGATATAGTATAGTGGTATTTTTCCTGGAAATCTCACCCAAAAATCCGATTCGTCTTTGTCCCTGTTGAGAAGTTCCTCCAAAGTGATAGTACAATTAGCAACGAAAACATCAGGGGGTATCGCTGCATCGTGAAAAACAGTGAGGGTGAGTGTCTTTGCATTTTCGACACTGTGCTCGAACAACTCGTTCCAGACAGGATCGAACGTTTTCTGTTTTGTTGTGGATTGTGCAAACTGGGTGTCGTCCACGTCGACCGTCACGTACGGGTCCAGAGGCTGTTCATCAGCCTTTCCGAACGCGTGCCGTTTGGAACAATCGGTCGGACGTAAAGCCTGAGCCTCGCATATTTTCACACGTACCGTGCCCGTGAACATGGCCCCCTCTTGGCGCGCTTGTATACCTTTTCCAGGAGGCACCAAACCAAACAAACAAAACTGGACTGTTCGTAAAAAGTATATAGAAAGGTATTATCGCACCACACCCGCACACTCGAAAAAACCGTACCAGCTACATGAGGTTAAATAAAATCGGAAACAAATCCAGAAATTGTTGGGATAGAAGCTCTGGCTCCGTTGACAGCCATGAAGGTCGCGCGCTCGGCTCGTTTCGACGTTATTTAACACACACACCGATCCTCCCTGTCGCTCCCACAGGCACCGGCCCTGCGTACTGGATGTTGCCGTGACATAGATTCGGGAAACCAGGACGCTGGATCGGCCTTGCGCCCTTCCCCAGACTCTCTCGCTTGCCTAGGTGGCAGCAAACACACACTTTCCTGCTGGACTCCTTCAAAAATAATAGTCTCTGTCTATCTGTTCGAGCCCAAACAAATTGTTAATTGATTTTTGAATTGCAAAATTATTGTTGGGAGCTGCTTTCTAATAATAATAATTATGTACCTCTCTGCGGAGATTCTTTACATACCAGAAATTAGGTTTTTAGCCTATAAAATATTCTATTTTGGTCTTCCAATCGATGACCATCAATCAATACATAAATCAATTAATAAGTTATTATATGTAGCAGTAAATTTCCTAAATTGTTTTTGTTTCTCGTTGTTTTAATTTTTATTTAATTCGATAGTTCGTTTATTGTTTTTATTTGTGATTTATGGGGCTTTCTTTATTGGTTGCTTTTGGGATTTTAAATTTTTTCAAATGACCATCATGGGTGGCCATGGTAGTGGTGGAGAACTATCGATTGTACTATCGAGCACTATCGATAGTATCAACTATCGAAGCGCTATCGATTGTTCCCTACCGACTATCGATAGTTTTCGATAGTAGCTTATAGCGGCTCTCAGTGCGTAGTGAGTGTATTTGTTTGTGTTTGATTCAATCAGCATGTGAAAGAAAAGCACAGAAACAGAAAAATGCACTGGTTCTGCTAATAGAAAACGCTTTTAGTCTCGTATCCGAGTAGTGCGAGCGAGTGCGTCACATAGGTAGTGCGAACTGCACCGTTTCGTTTATTTTGATGAAAATTGTAAGGAAATTATTTCAGAAATTGGAATTTTTTAGGGTCGGTTTCTCAGCGAGTCACCTCCGGGTTGATTTCAACTTCTGGGTAAACGTGTCCAGTTGCAATTTTTACCCTGGAGTTATGCTTAACCCGGGGCCCGGGGGTGACATGCTAATGAGAAACTGGCATGTTTTCATTTTTCATCTTCACTTCAGTAGTTAATGAATAGGGATATCATATATTTTAGTTTTTCTTCGTCCACCCAAATTTAATAGGTATAAAATTGAAATAATCTAATTTTGTAAAACTATCGAATACTATCGATAGTTATCGATGGTATGAGCCTTAACTATCGATTACTATCGATGGTGCCAACGATCGATAGTTCTCCACCTCTAGGCCATGGCATGGACCGAGTGATGAGACATGGGACATTTCGTCCAGTGTTGTCAGCTCTACTGTCTACTCTGGGCTCTAGAAAAATTTGGTTTAAATCCAAGCTGGGAAATTTCAACATTCAAATTTAAAAGAATTTAATTGAAATATGGACTTTTTGTTTTCCTTCGAGTACGAAATATATCATGGTGGAAACACAACTTTTCATACGAGCGTGCGAAAGTGTGCGATTGCAGTTGAACGGCCAAGCAATCGGGTGAGGAAAATAGACATTCCGCACGAGTTAAGAACACTATTTTTTCTATGAGATGCAAGTTAATATTCATACATACATTGGTGATTTTACCTACCAATTTTAGATATTTCACTAGTACGAAATAGCTATTTACCTAACAAGTGCGGAAAAATATTTTCCGCAAATGTTAGGTACAATATTTTTCCTACAGGCGAAAAAATGTTAAATTTTTCTTTTTTTTTTTGACATATCAGTGCGGTAAAATTTTTTCCGCACTGACAGCCGTGCGGAAAAACTTTTTCCGCACTGATAGGTATGTCACAAAAAAAAGTTTTACCGCTCCGTGTGGGAAAACTCATTTTCCGCACGCATATCAGTGTGGAAAACGATTTTTCCGCACGGCTGTAGAAAATAGTTATTTTCCTAACAAGTGCGCAAAGTGTCACTTTTCCGCACGCAAACACAGTTATACGAACGACGCGAAGCGGAGTTCGGATACGTGTTTGCGTGCGGAAAAGACACTTTGCGCACGTGTTAGGAACAACATTTTTCCTACGAGCTTCATATCAGGTAGGTAACAAGATTTTTTTTTTTTTTTAAACCCATAATTTGTTCAATTATTTTTAATTAACTTGAAGCGAACCTATACATTTATCAAAAAATTACCTAATAAAAAAAATAACAGAAAATCCTCGTCAGAGCTGTTCATCTTAAAGCATTTAAATTTGATGATAAAGTTTGTAGATTCTTGCATATAAATAGAGAACAAATCTGACAATGTGTCAAGGTTAATTTATATTTGGTGTTTGTATTGATGTTGGCTGATATAGAAACCGAGAAAAAATTTGTCATCATGTGTCAAAGTCGACAGGTGCACTTATTGTTGCTTGACAAGTATTTTTACTTTTCGGCACTCAGTGCGGATAAGGCCTGTATCCGCACTGAGTGCGGAAAAGTGTAACTTTGAGCCCTGGAATGCGTGCGGAAAAGTACTTCTTTGCGCACGCTCGTAGGAAAAAGTTTTTTTTTTTTCATTCTAGCGCCATCTACACAGGTCAATTTTGCGTATGACCGACACGACTATTGGACACGACACAGGGTGACAGGAGAGTTCAAATTCAGTTCCTGGAATCTGAATATGCGATCAAAATTTGGATTTTTTGAAGCGAAACTTATTTTGGACGTTGTAAATTGGATGTTGTGTAACGGAAGTTGAGACCAATGAACTATAGCTAAAAACTGGAATGCGCACACATTGCCATATCTGCCAAAAAAATGTAGCCATGAAAGACAGATGCCACAAAGGGGAATGTTGTTTTTTTCTGTTGCTCGCTGACATATGACGTTTTCGATAGTTTTGTCATATTTCCCTTCACAGGTTTCATCGACTGGAATACGTGTTGGAAGCAATTTTCGCCATTTAACATAATGAGTGCGACAAAAACAGGTATCCCCTCCGCAGCAGCCGCACTAGGCTTCACGTTCGTCCTTATGTGTTAGCATTCCAGTTTTTGGTTATAGTTCATTGGTTGAGACAGACCATATAGATTTGATACGATTTGATGTGACCTGCGAGAGATTCGACTGATTCGAGAGAATGAAAGAAACCACCACATCTCTATGTTTTTTAAAATGGCGACTGTAGTTTTTGACGTTTAATAGCTCAATAATAGATGGCACCACAATAATTAGTGTATAATCAATAATTTGGAGTAAATCCCATTCAACAGTCTGGAGATTGTTATTATTATAAAGGATTCGGATTATATCCAGGACAATAATCATTTGACATTTTCTTTCGTTGAAAAATAGCTCTAATCTAGTGCCGTCCCGACTGACTCTTTGGAACTAGGAACTACAGTGGCTAAATAAACCTTTACATACAGTGGCGACAATAGAGGTCCCGCCGCCATTTTGTTCCCAACTTCTTGTTACTTTTAAATATTAATATATAGGATTTAAATGGACATCTATCATAAAAAAATGAAATTGTATTTAATGACTATTATTAGGTCCATCAAATACGTTGTTTTCCATGATTTATGATGGATGTTGGGAACAAGATGGCGGCGTTTTCAATATAAATATATGGGATTTTAGAACCAATCAAAAATAAGACAGCAATTGTCGCCACTGATGTGGGTGATAGAGTCACTGTACTAGGAACTATAGTGTCGAGTGTCAAATGACTGTTGCACTGGTTGGCAATATTTTCTCGATCTGGGTCCTTATTCTTGAAATAGCTAGGGAAGCAGCGTTACCAGTAGAACGAGTGTTCCGTCTTCGTTACTCATATTATCAGTTGCATTAGAGGTGGAGAACTATCGATAGTCATGACCATCGATAGTTATCGATAGTCGGGACCTTGACTATCGATAAATATCGATAGTTTTCGATAGTTTTTAAATACAAGTTATAAGGTAGAAAGAAAGGTATCTGTGTACTAAAAATCTTTGATTCTAGGAAATAGCTAAATATTAAACTTTAACATCAATATCTGCAGTGAAATTCTGAAAGGAATAGAGATTTCGCATGATTTTCGCTATCTCTATTGACGTACGTCCCCTCTATTGATTTCGAAAAGAGAGAAGAAGACAGCCAAATGCCAAAGCGATAGGAATAACGAACTTTATCTGTTACAGAATCCCGCCTTTGATCTTTCATTTGCGGAGAAAATATTTTTTTCTAAAACTAAAAAATATCTTATTCTAAAAGCCTAGAAATTTCGTATAAAATCATTATCATTATCATTTCAACATTTTTGGCTTTTAGACGGGAAAACTTTCCATTGTCCCTGAAAAATAAGGTTTCCAAACCAGTTAAAACTGTTTTGTTTTGCATTTTTGCAGTTCAGTTTTGTGCACCTACCCTAACTTTCGCTTACTAATAAGCGCTACAGCTACTATCGAAAACTATCGATAGTTAAAAAAAACTATCGATATATTTCGATAGTCAATACTATCGATAGTTATCGATAGCGCCATCGATAGTTCTCCACCTCTAAGTTGCATATCGCTGAGAAAGACGGAACACTCATTCTCCTGGAAACGCTGCTCCCCTTTTTCAAGGATAAGGACCTCAATACTTTTGATATCGAACACGCCATTGCTTGAAAAAAAGGGTTTTCGTATAGATTAGGGTATTTCGACGGAAAAACGGATGCATGAAAATCCTCCCTAAAGCCTAGTACTCATAACTGCGAAATTCGCATTTTTTTGACATTGCTTCGACAATTTGACTTTTGATACACGCATAAAACGTCAAATTTTCAACGCAATGTCAAAAAAATGCGAATTTCGCAGTTATGAGTACTAGGCTTAAGGGAGGATTTTCATGCATCCGTTTTTCCGTCGAAATATGTCCGAAAAGTCTTCTATTTTGACATATTTATATACGATTCTGACATAATCGTATATAAATATGTCAAAATATAATGTTAAACGGACATATTTCGACGGAAAAACGGATGCATGAAAATCCTCCCTTACTTTTCATGCATCCGTTTATCCGTCAATCCGTTTATCCGAAAGTATTCCTATTGGCCCAATATTTTGGCGCCAGAATCAGGAAGTATTCCTATTGATCCAATATTCTGGCGCCAAAATATTGGGCCAATAGGAATACTTTCGGATCAACAGATTGACGGATAAACGGATGCATGAAAAGTAACCCTAATTTAGATATTCCAAAATTAATTTCACAATTTTACTTTTTTAATAATCCTATTCAACCCCTTTCCAAAATTACAGGGCTGCGTTCAGGAATGGCTACAGCCAAGCCAAAATTGGCATTTTGCGTTCGAGTTCGGCTCCAAACTACGTGGTTCGGCATTACAGGTGGAGGGGGAAAAGTAGGTTTTGGCATTAGCATTGCCGTCCTTGAACGCACTCCAGATAGAATGGATAAACTAAATATTAAACAATTGCGCAAGCGTAGTTCATTCCAGAACTGATTCTGAACCAATGGTCCGAATAAACCTAATCTCAACTTTAAGCAGGGAGTAGGGGCATTGGAACCGGTAGAATAGAATCGATCAGGAACGGGTTGCAGTTGAACCTCGATTCGCGAGTAACGAAGTGTAACCAAAAATTTAGCAATAATTTATAATAGCGCTTTCGACTTCTGGCTCAAAACTGCATTCGATTGATCAAATAGCGATCCGAAACGGATTAACATGTTCCGCTTGAAACGGAGCGCTATTCTCGGCGAGATTCACGTGTTCGACTTGAGCAATAGAACGCTTTCAAATCTCGCACGGAGCGCGCTTCCTTGCTAGTCAAATTCGATGGATCGAAGAGTTTGATCAAAACAATAAACAGCGTTCGGTTATTGGTTTCAAATGGTGTGCCTCGTTTGGATTGTAATCGCTGTTGGAGCACTACCGCAGAGATATGTGACGTCATCGCCTAAACGAGGAGCGCTGAGTAAAGCCGAAAACTTTTTCGGGTGTTTTTGGCTTTACTACTTCCCAGAGCGCTCCCCGTCTAGGCAGTCACGTCACAGATCTCTGCGGGAGTGCTCCAAGAGCGATTATAATCCAAACGCGGGCACACCATCTGAAACAATGATCTGATATCAATAGCCGAACGTACTTTAATCAAACTCTCTGATCCATCGAATGTGATGAAGCAAGAAAGGAAAGGGCGCTCCGTGCAAGATAGAAGAGCGTTTTATTGCTCAAGTCGAATACCTGAATTTCGCCGAGAGCAATACGCTCCGTTTTAAGGCCCATCCTCAATCAATCTGGTAGCGAAGTGGCACTTCGGCACGCATGCTAGGACAAAGTTGTTTATCGTTGGCATCCTCAATTCAATTTCGTGCTAACATGCACGCCGACTTCGAATTGCAAGCTGCAAGCTTTTTCGATATGTGACAACTTGTGTCATGCGCAGTACATTACCCGTACGTTCGGTATTTGGAGCATGAATTTACCGTTCGTATATTCAGAAAGTGTACTCGGTGCAGGCTCATTTACATTCATTGAAATTTCGAGCCGTCTGATACGGCTCTGTGCGCTCGCTGGTCACATTATTACAGCTCCGCTCTGCATGCTCTTGGAACAAAATACCGAACGCAAGGTAAATTACCATTACATACATTGACAGAATTGAGGATGGGTATAAATTTTCCAGCACGCGTGCCGAAGTGCTACTTCGCTACCAGATTGATTGAGGATGTAGCTTTAAAACCGAACATTTGAATCCATTTCGAATCCCTTTTTGATTACTCGGGTGCAATTTTGCGGCAAAAGTCCGCGTTCGCGGATATATTCGAACCGAGATACCAAAGTTTGGAACATATTCAGAATTTTCGTAGATCGTATGCGTAAGAGTTCAATGGACAAAAAAGTAACCTCCGTCAAAATTTGCTCGCAGATGCATTTACCGAACCCAGCCATATCACAAACGATTTTGGAACAGGAAACAAAAACCGCTCTCTACCACCCATTGAGGTAGAAAAGTGCCATGGTTGCTTGAAAGAGGTTTTGACTTCAAGTGCAAACGGCCATAGGAACCTGAATAGTGCTACCTCAATAGTTGTATTCCCTTCAAGAGCTTAGAACACTAGAACTACTCGCTCCGGTGTTAGACGACCCCGATTTGGAAGGAATAGATGCGCTGGCTTTCATGCATTAAATAGTGAGTTCGGGCATAGCACTTCACTTCTATTGCTCAACGCTCCGTTTCAAGCCGAACATGTGAATTCGTTTCGGGTGCAGTTTTCAGGCAAAAGTCGAAAGTGCTATAAGTTTATTCGGGGAAACGTAACTTTGGCTGAGTTCGGCTTGACACTCGGTACACTCCGAGCGCGCTCGAAATGATATGATCCTGTTCGTTTTGGCTCTCAGTGTTCTCTTTTGCGTTCAGGTTATAATCGAGCACGTAACCTGAGCTCGCTCTCTTTTCCATGTCAGGTTGTACGAGTTTATTTGATTTGACACGGTGCACTTTCTGTGATGTTATGTTACTCCATGATCGCTCTGCTCGAGCGTCAATAGTTGTTTTCCTTTCACACCTAGGAGGAGCTCTGGAACAGCTCCCGGGTTTTACGCCTTTCGAAAAGTGTATTTGCACCCGAAGTGCTCTAGCCTGAACTAATTTACTAAAGTATTCAAATGCACGGAAGCCAGCGCATCTGCTCCTTTCAAATCGTGGTCGACTAACACCGAAGCGAGTAAACTCTTGAAAGGAATACAACTATTCCCATTGGTCAACCCAAATGCAGCCACGAGAGTGTAACATGTCAAATAAACTTGCAAAAGTAACTGATTATAGAAGTTCGTCTTGGAACACTGAGCGCTCGGAGCATCTTTGGACTTTTTTTCTTTTGATGAGAAGATCGGGGATAAAAAAAAAACAATACAGCAGCTCCGAATGTCTACTCGAACTTTACCACTATCGAATCAGTGGGTCCGGAATCCGGGCCTAGTTCCTACTCGGAACAAATCTGATAGATCTCGAATCGTCGGAGGACATGTATTTTAACCCGAACAGTTCCAGACTTGTTCGACGAAACCCGAAAGTAAAATGTTTTTATCGGTGCTTACTACTGAAAAGTTCTAGAACCGGGAGTAAACTCAAATCGTTCTGACTGAATAGAACCCACTCATATTGGATTGAAGTTAATGCAACTTGGCAACACCGAACTTCCTCCCAGGCTCCCTATTTTTGTGTTTATTGTTCACGTGGTTGTTTACCAAAAATTTTAAATTGCGATAAGTAATTAATTCAAACAGCTGAGCTTTTAATATTTCACAATTTTGCATTGCTTGCATTTTATCAGTTCTGTCTACGTGTATAAACTTTCCATATTTTGCAAAAGTTTCCAGTTTTATTTGTGCAAAGAGATAGAAATGTCGAGCCCCAAGGAAGAATGTGTCTTGAAGGCTGGCCACCCTCCAGCAGGTAATTATTCACGTCTCTTCACTTAAAAATATTTATCTTTAATGAAATCCCAAAATTCTCATACTTTTAAGGTTATTTTGTAACTTGCAAAACTACTAAAAATAATTACAAGTAGCTCAAGGCCAAGGCGCAAATATTCCTAATATACTGGTTAATCTTTTAGTTAAAGCTGGTGGTATGAGAATTACCCAACACAAAACCCGCAAAGATTCTGGTGGTCTAGGAGAAGACACCACTGGTATCACTGTATCTGGAAGCCCACCGAAAAGCATCACTGTATCTGGTGCAGTTGTTAAAGGCCATGCAGACTTTACTCCTGAGGCTGTGCAGAGTTTCCACAGAGAGAAACCACCGGTAGCTCATTCTAACAAATCGAACACTCACATCATTCAACAGCCCAGGAAATAAGTTGATACTGGTGTCTTTGATGATGATATTTTTGCTAGATATAGGTTTTTGTCATATTCTTTTTTATTAGTCTTGTGCCTAGAACTTTTCAGTGGTGATTCAAATGCAACTGCAGAAAAGCTTCAGGTTATTTTGTTCTATTATTATCTATATTTTATTATAATATGCATTTATTCTCATACTTAAAACATGTTTGAAAAAAAAATTGTGTAAAATGTTCATTATTTTGTGGTGTTTGGGATTTATATAAAATCTACTTATGTTGGAGTAAATAAAAAGCTTTTATTATTAATACTTTAATAACAAATTGAGTATTTTATTTAATTTAGCAGATATTAAGTGGCAGATTTATTCCAGCTAGTGTTTGCCTTCTTTTTGTAGTCTTCTTTCGATAAGGATTTCAAATGTGCTGCATCCACATAATCACTATAAAATATGTATTTTTAACCAATTAAAGTTGATATTTTTTTAGTGATAAATATTTTTTATCTTTCAAGTGTTGATAAATAAAAAATTTCATCAATAAATATTGCTTTATCAGGAAAAGATTCCACATGAACAAGAAAACAATGATTTACTTAGTTTTTATGCAAGCATTATTGCATATTTGTGGAGACAAAAGTACTTTGAATAAACTCACCGGAATTCATCATAAGATTTTGCAGTGACTACAGCCCTCAATTTTGCGTCATTCCTAACCCAATAACGCTTATCTGAATTTAAATCGTTCTGCAGCTGGGCATACAAATCACCCAATTCACGGTTTCCTTGGGACATTTTGAAGGGTTTAATTGAACTACGTTTTTATTTCTTGTTTCTTTTGATTAAATCAATAACTCTGGCATGACAGGTCAGTCAATATCAATAAATAAATTAGGTTTCCATGGAAACATTGATTTTGAATTCAATTTTCTCAAGACGTGCTCATCAAGCTCTTATAAAAGGCGCAAAAAGCAAATACAATGTTGGATCATTATAATTTCTACAAACGTAAATTGTGGTTCACTCGATCAAGAGTCTACAGCCTACAGCTACTCTAAATTGTGGATAGCTGTTTGGTCTGGCATGATATACTTGCTTCAAATACCTTAAAAACCAGTGTTGCCAACAGGAAGTTATCAAAATGCTCCTCATTTGTAGTGTAAACGCTCACATTATGCTCACATGTACTGAAAATAACGTCAATGTCAAAATGTCAATAGTTTTGGAGTTTTCCAGTATTAAGTATGACATTTGACATTTGACTACGGGATCACCAGGCTGATGTACATTGTCTTTTTTCAATCGTGTTCATTAGAAAAGGATAAATAACAAACAGCTGGTGATCGGCTGTTGCAATCCAAGGAGAATACACAATATACACTCTAATGCCTCATTCTGAGTTGCGCGAAATTCGCTCTTTTTTGATATTCCCTGCGTTTCTATTCTCATCAAATTTTACCGATGGATCCTCCATTCTATGTCGGTCATTGTCATTTTCCATTCACTAAACGAAGATAGCTAATTCATCGGTGAAGTCACCGATTAAAATAAAAACGAGGGGATATTTCGACAATTTGACGTTTTATGCATGTATCAAACTTCAATTTGTCGATGCAATGTCAAAAAAGAGCGAATTTCGCGCAAGTGAGAATGGAGCATAAGGAATGCTTATCAGTCTCGTTTTTGTAATCCCCGCCGCATATTGGTGTGCTTCTATTTCCGAGGTCATAACTAAGTCGTCAGCTGTTTAAACAGCCTACGTCAAGGCAAGAATTGCAAGAAATGACATTCTGTCTACGTCACAACTGGTATTTTGGTATCGGGGATTTGTTACATACAGGCCTTATGAGAATAGGCCATCGTGTAGCAGTGAGTGTGTATCATCCTTGGATGGAATCAGCGTTTCTAAAATGGCCTCTTGACAATTTATTTATTTTTATTTATTTTGTTTATTGCGCTCTACATAATGTACTTAAACATTACAACTTACAGAGTACACTAAAATGTAATGATCTATAATAGATAGAGGTATATGCAGTATACATCGTTCTTAAGCCTAAAACTAATGTTCCCGTTATTATTAACGGTTCTTAACCTAAGGTAATAAATATCTATGTGGCTAAAATATGAGTTGTATGTTTTTTGCATTTGAGATATTGGGGAATTCACAGCATAGTTTGTATTATAAAAGTTACAGTAAAATAAATCTGAGCATCGCAGTGACCTAGGTGGTGTATAAAAATTATTTAAATTTAATAATTGGGGACATGATATTACGTTCGTAAAAATTTTATGCAAAAACAACACATACAAACTGACAATGCCGACAAAATGCTCACATCTTGCCAATGCTCCCATTTTTACCCCCAGATCTATAAAATGCTCACAAATGTGAGCAAATGCTCACACATTGGCAACACTGTTAAAAACAGTGGCGTCGATATGCATAAGAGGATATAAGTGATGCTTAAGGGCCTGAGCACGAAGGGGGTCCGAAAGGGCCCCATTTTATTTAAAATAAAAATAAAATTGAAAAATATAATGACCGATATCGATCGCTATACTTAACGTAGATTCTTTCAAGTTGCCACCACTGAAAGGTCATTAGTAAATAAAAGATATGGAAAAATTACTTGAGACATTCCATAAGTCAGCATAAATGCATGATCTTTCCATTCTGTCTGTCAGACATAGCACAGCATCATCATTCAATATGGATGTTCGGTATTAACATGCTCCTGAAAAATTATCCAATGGATAAAGAAACTACACATATTCAAACTTCGAACTATCACCGGCTCTTGATTCTTTGGTAAAGCTTCCTAGAGCCAATCAAGAGCCGGTATTGTCAAAATTTCCAATGATCATTAGCAGCTCTTAAGTTGATAATAATCAAAACTTCTTCTTCCGTTTCCTAATTGGCTCTAGAAAAATTATCCAATGGATCAAAGAGCCAGATAATCAAAATTTGAATTATTACTGGCTCTTGATTCTTTGAAAAACTTTCCTGGAGCTGATCAAGAGCCAGTCAAAATTCAAACTTTTATCAAATCTAGATTTCCTAGAGAATTCTTCTAAGGGTTTTTACCAAAAGAAAACATGCCGCCTCAGATTTTTACGATATCCCTGGCCTCCAATAATTAAGAAAATTGGGACACCTTCGGTTGAACAAATAATTATATTTCTTAGAAATAGCGGGAGAAGAATTTATACAATACAGGCAAATATAATTTTAATACCCAGCAGAATAAATGTTGGATTGTAAATATAGAGACATTAATAATGAGCGCTTCCAAGTCATGTAATCAGTTGCCCATGGAATTAAGACATCAAACTTATCAAGCCTTTCTTGAAAAAAAAAAGCTCAAAGAAATATAATTATAATTTAATACTTCTGTATACCAGTATATTTCTCAATTTGAGCTAGACTTTCATAATCCTCAATGAGCCCAGCACTCGGCCTACATGTTCAGTTCTGGGTTTTGTTTTGCAGGAAAATCTGCTTTCTGGTTGCCATATATGCTTTTGTAGTCACATCAGGGTTAATTCGTTCCCTACGCCAGTTGCTTGATCTTTTTGACTTTCCAAACCAAGTGCACTTAGTAGCTCCTAAAGCGTCAAGCTCTATTTTTTGGACTAGAGCCAGTTTTTGGTGAAATTGGTGCAAATGTGACCTGGTCACCTGCATGCATCCAGCTTGCTGTTCACTAGTTCAAGCCAGTGCCCAATATTGCCATTTGATAATCGCATGGGGAATAAAAAAAAACCCATAAAAATAAATAATTTATTAAACAACCTCCTTTAACTCTAAATTATCTGATAGTAACAAACAGTTTTGAAGTTGCAGCATCAGCAATTTTTTGATGAACAGCGTTCACTTCACTCTGTGTCAGTGTCTTTTCCATATGCCTATAAGTAATCCTATAACAATGGCTCATCTTCTTTGACTTTGGATGTGTAAAACTATCAATTAATTGAACCTGCTCAACAAGATCGCCACCTTCATTACGAACTAAATCATAAAAATCATTACTTGAAAATTCATCATCAGGCAACCAAAAGCTCAAGTCATTAATACATTGTGGAAATTGAGAAATTTCTTTATAAGTTATTGATTTAGAGATATCATCAGTTTTAAATTGGTTTAAAAATCCTGAATCCTTTGACCAAAATAATCTTATATCAGGTATTTTATATAAGCACATTGCAATGCGTTCTAAACCAATACCAAAAGCCCATCCTATACGATCTTTGACTCCAGAATTAGTAAGAATTGGCTGTCTCATAATGCCACAACCTAGAACTTCCAACCAACCACCATTATAAAATACTTCCAACTCCCAGCTTGGCTGGGTAAAAGGAAAAACTGTATCAACCCAACGATATTCAACATCACCAAATAAATGTTTTCCTAGACCCTCTAAAGTGGCTTTTAGCTCATGTTCCATAAGTTTAGCAGCTTCCAATGTATGACAGGCTTGTTTTTCCTGGCCTCCAAAGCTATCTGTATTATTACCAGCTTCAAAAAGTTGTAAACTAGAATCATTGGGGAATAGTTCATCTCGTGTTTTAAGTCTTACAGCATCCAATTGATGAAATACTGGATAATGAGTTCTGTCGATTTCGTCTCTTCTGTACACATCCCCAACTATTAAAAAGTTATTTAGGCCCCCTAATAACAGCTCAGCTTGATGGGCAGTCATGTGAGCCCTAAGCAGATAATCTCTATTGATGTAATAACAGTCACTTTTTGATCTCGAAACATGATCTTTAGGTATTAGAAGACTATCAAAATTTTGGTTCACAGTTACTATTGGGCTCAATGATCTATGCACAGAAAATAAAGGATTTCTTCTTGCGTTTAAAAACGACTTGTAAAAATAGTCCACGATCCTTAGTTGAACCAAATTCAACGGGTGGTTCTGTTGCAAGTGTAAATTTCTTTCAATATGAGACACAATTCGACTTGTTACGTTTGTATAATCGTCTTTTGTGTATGGAGTATTGAGTATTGTTACGTCCTTCGGAAGGGCATTAGCTGCTGAGGAAAACCGACGAGAAATTGGACACTTTACGTAACGGAAACACAACATTTTCAAAGGCCGAGCAAGTTAATTTTTCATTTTTAAATGTTTTGGTTTTGTGATTTGAATTTGAGTTGAGGTTGAGGTTATGTTGATATGTTCATGACAAGAGTAAACACTGGTAAAAACATAACGTTCGGGTTTCGTCGAACAAGTCTGGAACTGTTCGGGTTAAAATAATTGTCCTCCGACGATTCGAGATCTATCAGATCAGTTCCGAGTAGGAACTGGGCCCAGATTCCAGACCCACGATACGATAGTGGTAAAGTTCGAGTAGACATTTGGAGCTGCTTTATTGTTTTTTTTTTCTTTATCCCCGATCATCTCATCAAAAAAAAAGACCAAAGATGCTCCGAGCGCTCAGTATTTCAAGACGAATAACGGAGTATCTTCTATAATCAGTCACTTTTGCGTTTATTTGACATGTTGTACTCTCGTGGCTGCATTTGGATTGACCAATTGGAATAGTTGTATTCCTTTCAAGAGTTTAGAACACTAGAGCTACTGACTCCGATGTTTGTCGGCCCCGATTTGAAAGGAACCAGATGCGCTGGCTTTCGTGAATTTGAATGATTTAGTTCAGGCTTGAGCACTTCGGGTGCAACAAACACTTTTCGGAAGGAATAAGCGCGTAAAACTCGGGAGCTGTTCCAGAACTCCTCTTAGGTGTGAGGAATACAAATTATTGACGCTCAAGCAGAGCGATCATGGTGTAATATGATATCACAGAAAGTGCACCGTGCCAATCAAATAAACTCGTGCAAGCTCACGTTATCCAGGCCGAGTTCGTTTTTGTCATCTTTATCGTCGATTTGCTCCAAAATTTTAACAGAGCCGAGTTCGTTTTTTTCATCTTTTTCGTCGATATTTTATTTTACTACACCTTTTTCATCTGTAATTGCGAATATATCACTTAATTTTAGGAATAGTAAAATAATATTGCGAATAAATCAAATCTAATTGAGAATAGTCACTTGATATTGATATATTAAATGCAATTGAGAAAAGTTAAATATAATTGCGAACACATCAAATGTGACCTTTTCAATTTAAAATCCTCTCTCTCTGACATCAAACTGTCAGACGCCAAAAGAGCATGAAAACAATAGTTGACAGCTGTTGACAGGGGTTTGTAGACAAGACTTTTGAAAGAAACTATTATTTCCTCGGTTTTCCAAGGTTTTTTCTAACAATGGTGCTTCTGTGTAGTGTGCATTTTCATAAAAATAATTCCCATTTAACGTTGGACGTGTTTTTCTCAAATCCTACACTTGTCAAAATTTGGATACACAAAATCAGAAAGGATACTCGCAAAAGAAAGAGAAATCCATGGCCCATCAAGTATACAAAGTAATCCACGTTCAAGATTAGTTTCCAGAAGCTGTTTGCTTCCAAAATAATCCACCACCATAGCGAAGTTCTGCGAATGAAGCATTAACTTTTCCCACAGTTTCTTTCCAAATTCAAACCCAGCGTTTCTATTCTTATCAAATTTTACCGACGGATCCACCATTCTATGTCGCCCATTGTCATTTTCCATTCACTTAACAAAGATAGCTAACTCATCGGTGAAGTTAGATTCGAAAAAAAACGAGGGTATTGCACCTAATACACATTGACATTGACAAGCAAGTAAATGTTGGCGGGAAAATGAATGTTTTCATACTTATCGTCCATCTCTTTTAATTGAAAACGTCAATTGAGGATAGTTAAGTGTAATTGCGAATATATCATATGTAATTGGGGAAAATCAAATAAAATTAGTAATAAATCAGATGTAATTGAGCCTTTTAATTTTTCAATCAACATCTGTATGTTGTTGCTAAAAAAACTAAGTCTGTTGTTGAAGAAAGCTTTTGTTTACATACATATAGGTAGTTTTATGTCAAAGAAAGGCGACACAAAAATGGGATTTCGCAATAAATGTGTTATAATATGCAGATCAACCGATCAACGATGACAAGAAAGAGTCGACAGAGAAAATATTTGATTATGTCTTAATTATATTTGATTAATTCGCAATTACATTTGATATATTCCAAATTTCATTTGATTATCCCCAATTCTATCTAATATATTCCCAATTACACTTAACTTTTCTCAATTACATTTGATATTTTCGCAATTACACTTAACTTTTCCCAATAACTATTCAATATACTCGCAATATCACTTGACTATTCGCAAAATCAATTCATGAATTCGCAATATAAATTGCTATATTCGCAATTACATGTGGAAAAGGTGTAGTAAACGAGGTGCTTTTTTTCCAGAGCTTTGAAACCCCAGGCTTTGACGCCCTGGGGCGCATCAGCGCCAGCGCACGCTCAAAAAAGAAGGGTAATTAAAGAACAAACTTTGTGTTCAAAAATCTCACTTAAATTACAAAGTATGTGTCTTGAACGAGGCGCTAGCGGTGGGGATAGACAACCCCGGGGCTTGACGCCCCGATTAAATAGAACGGTTGATACATTTCAAAATCGTGATCCAGGGCGCCCTGGAGCGCCCAAGCCCGTGGAAAGAGAGCAGCTTTAGTAATGAACGCCAAATAAAAGTAGAAGAGAAAGGTGCTTTCTTTCCAGAGCTTTGAAACCCCATCAGGCTTCGACACCCTGGGGCGCGTCAGCCCGTGAAAAGAAAGCGAAAAGAGAAGAAGAAGAAAAAAATTGTGATCCAAGGCGACCTGGGGCGCCCAAGCCCGTGAAAAGAAAGCAGCTCAGCAGGGAAAAAAAACGGAAACTCGAACCGAATTAATTTTTTTTGACACTTTTAGGTTATAATTTTTCAAAAGTGTCCGGAAAAGTGAGCGAGCTGGGTACGTGCTCGATTATAACCCGAACGCAAAAGAGAACACTCTGAGAGCTAAAACGAACAGGTTCATATCGTTTCGAGCGGGCTCGGAGTTAACAGAGTGTAAAGCGGAACTCAACCAAAGTTACGCTTCTCCGAATAAACTTATAGCACTTTCGACTTTTGCCTGAAAACTGCACTCGATTAATCGAAAAGCGATCCGAAACGAATCACATGTTCGGCTTCAAACTTCAAACGGAGCGTTGAGCAATAGAAGGCTCTCGAATCTCGCACGGGCTATTGATTTCAGATGGTATGCCGAGAGCAGTAAAACCGAAAATGTTATTATTTATGAGGCGTTCCGATTCAGTCTGAACTGTTTCGGGATTATTCCTGGTTCGTGCAACTACTCTCTCAGCGGAACTACTCCGAGAGCGACTGGAATCCAAACGAATGCACACCATTTGAAATCAATAGCCGACCGTATTTTATTGTCTTGATCAAACCCTTTGATCCATCGAATTTGACGGAGCAAGAAAGAGCGTTCCGCGCGAGATTTGGGAGCGCCCTATTGCTCAAGTCGAACACGTAAATCTAATGGAAGGCTCGCAAATCTGGCACAAAGCGCTCTTTTTTTTCAAATGGTGTGCCTTCGTTTGTATTATATTCGCTCCCAGAGCACTCCCGCAGAGATCTGTGACGTCGCTGCCCGACGTCGACGCCAGAGAGAGAAAGGTCCCAACAAACACGAACTGGCTGGTCCGAAAACGGAACGAAAGCGATTTGCCGTGTGCGGCCCGCCTACGTCGGCCGGCTCGGCGTGTAGGTAGGGCATGTCCGCCAGGCCGTAAGGTGGCTAAAAGTCGGCTAGCCAACCTTTAGCCTCGGCAAAGCTTGGAATAACCGACGACGGGCCGATGGTAGATAGCCGAGCCGGTAGAGGCTCGGCAGGCCATCCGCGGCTCGCAAGGGGCTATCCTCTTATAAACCGCCATTATTATCTGCCAAAAACAGGCGCAGGCGCCGTGAATTTTCTCAATTTCTGTACTGGGTTACTTGTCCAACATGGTATGGTCTTATGTTTAAAGTTAAAAAAATGTACGGTAAGATTTTTTGCAAATTAATTTTCAAGGCAATTAGGTCAGTTTTTAAAACAAACAAAAGCACTGAAATATCTTTAAAAAAATTGAGATTTGCATAAATCATGTTACAGTTAAATTCACTTATTTTACCTCCTCCCTTATCACATCTCCATGAATTACCAATAACCCTGGTATTCACACTATGAAAATTATAGGTTTTTATTTTAAAAAAAGTTTTAAATAGGTACTATAAAAAAGCTGCTTTAGTATGTAGAAGTAGATATAAAAAAGAAAACAATTTTCAGCAACCTCTGGTTTATAAGTCACACGACAAAAATAACTTACATACTTGAAGGAATGCAAAATACGTACACATCATGATCATGACTAAAATGCTTAGTTTTGAAAAACGAAACCAAAAAAAAACTTACTAAATAAATAATAATAATAGGTATAAAATAATAATAAATGCAACAAATTATTATACATAGAATAATCGGCTAGAAAAAAATACACTGAAATATACTTATTCTAGCTCTCAAAAAAAATATCTAGGGAAAAAGAAGCACAATTTTTTTATAGTTCACATCATGACTAGAATGTGTCAATGGGTATACACTACAAATGTAACAAAAAAACATAGTTTCTAATAATAGGAAATCAACAATGGCACAGTTTTAAATTTAGACAACTATGGCTCGGTTTATTCACCTTCTGATAAACTTTCAGGTACCTTTATTATCTGGCAGAGGTGGACACGACGCAGCAAGCTTGGAAGCAAAACACAAAAATCATCGATAAATTGATAATCAGTATCGCACTTTAACGGCACACAACTTAACACATTTAAGAACAACGGGGATAATGCAAAGAGAATAAAAAAATTCTTAAAGAAAGTCCTATAAAATATATTAGAGAGATATCGGTAACCCAAATAGTGTCATGCAGTATTAGCGCCAACGTTATTTTGACATTAAACCTATGCGCGATTCGATTTTTAACACTACGTACTAAAATAACGTTACCGCTTAACGTAATTTACCCAGCATTTACGTTAGGCGCTATTTCGAATAACGTCTAAAAATAACGCCGTGGAATAATGGGTTATGTTATGTTTATTGTTTATTTTATTATTTTTGCTGTATTCAAGTGAATATGGATTGTTCAAAAAATAGTAAAAAAGCAAATCCTCTGTCCCTGACCATGAACAACAGACAACACAAATCAAATCAAAACAAGGTACAAGTTAGACTACGGTTTTAAAATAACGAATGCGAACAGGCAAATTTTACGTTAAACTGTTTTCCGATAACTCTAATTTGAAAGTATGATACCGCTTTACTTTAAAAAAATAACTCCTGACGTTATTACCGCCCATACGCGCTATCTGTTTTACCGATATCTCTCTATTATTTTCGAAAAAAAACAAAAAAGTCAAGCTAAGCTGAAAGCAAACACAACACACAACACAATGGACGCCGTGCCGCGATGACAACGATTCGGTTAAGTGGAGAGGGAGACACGAACGCCCTCTCAGCGATCCGAGTCATTCATGAAACGGCGCGAAATTCAATCGCGCATGACACGAGGTCCCCTAGCGGTAAACCGCTTCTTAACCGTATGTGGTCCGGAAGATGGACTACGTAACTGGCAAAGCCTACTGCGGATCTGCTTTGGCACGAAATAGGGCTTCCCGGTAGCGAGTTTCCGAGTATTAGCCACCTTCGGCCTGAAAGCGTAAAAACCGTTCCCGGTATACCCGAACTGGACCGATGGAGGTTCAGATAAGTGGCTACATCAGCCACCAGAATACCGAACGTGCCGGCTGGCGGCCGCTCATTTGCCGACTGCGTTTGGTTTGTTGGGGTCTATTGAAAAGCTCAATTTATGAGACGCTTCTATTCAGTCTGAAATGCTTCCGGAATTATTCCGGGTTCGTGCAACTACTCTCTGAGCGAAAGTGCTCCGAGAGCGATTAGAATCCAAACGAGAGCACATCATTTGAAATCATAATCGAACGTACTTTAGTTTTGGTTGAATCCTTTGTTCCATCGAATTTGACGGAGCATCAAGAAGCGTTCCGTGTGAGATTTGAGAGAGTTTGTCGAACACAAATCTCGCCGGGAGCAACGCTACGTTCTAAGCCGAACATGTGAAATGCGTTTCGGATCGCTTTTCCATCAAACGGGTGCAGTTTTGACGCAAAAGTCGAAAGCGCTATCAGCTCTGTTCCAACCGACATGAGAACCGTTCCAGAACCAGTAATTTCCAGTTTCCAAATTACACTTTCCAGTTCTGTTTTAACACGTCAAAAACCGTCCGATGATTACCTTGCGTTCGGTATTTTGCTCAAAGAGCAGAGCGTGCTGAGCGGAGCCGTCGTAATCACGTGACCAACAAGCGAACAGAGCAGTTTAACGCTAGGTTTGTTTCTTTGTGTCGCACTAACTCGAACTAAGCTGTAATATTTCAGATTATGGCAGATACACAATCAGATACACCCATATAAAAGGCACACAAATGAACGCTCCAAAGCAGGAAGTGCTGCCCCGAACAACACAAACAACAAACAGTGTGCCAGAAATTTAACGAACGCGAATGAGCTTGCACCGAGTACACTTTTTAAATAAACAAACGGTATATTCAAGCTCGGAGAACTCAGATCAAAATACCGAACGCACGGTTTATTTCGAAACTACTCTGTACATACGAGCTTCTGATTCTACACACGAATTTTAGTTTTTGAGCAGCATCATGACGGTCATTGTGGTTTCCTGCTGTGCTGGAGCCTGGAGCACAAAGCTACTGCTCTGTGTTCGCGGATCAACTAGAATCAGTTTCCAGTTGATTCTGAGCTCAGTTCCAAGACTTCATCAAAAGAGTAAGAGAAAATCCCAAGTTTTTGTTCGTGTTCCGAAATCGTTCGCGGTGAAATAAAATCCTGAACTGGTTCATAATTGTTCTAAATGTGTTCCTCGAACAAAGCTATTTAAAAAACACGACATTTTTTCTGACTACAGTGGTTTCTGACTACGTCAAATTCAAACTGTCAAAATATTATAACCAAAAAAATACATATGGAAAAAATAGACAAAATCATTTATAAGGAAAAAAACAGTATAAAAACCTAATACCCAAATAAATAGTTTAAATATTTACATAAAACCAATAGCATTTTACAATGGTTCTATTGGAAAATGAAACTGTAAGTTTTTCAAAATCTTATTTATTTAAATTTATTGAAAACCTCGAGAAACAATATGCAAATTGCTTGTCGACCAGCAATATCGAGGTGGAATAGTGCAGTGGGGCCTACCTGGGGGTTCAACATCCTTGTTTGTTGTGATTGTGATTATAAGACCCCCATGGGCCAGGGGTGGTGAGCTGCTCAAGGGCGGGTCATGGTGGGGATGCATCAGAGGTGTAAGCAAGACCCGCCTTCCTGCCTGAACCCACCATTCACTGGACGAAAGTAATGAAGAAATGCACACAGGTGCAGCTTGTTTATATATCTATCTGCTTCTAACTCATATGATATACCTGCAAGTGATGACATGCCAATCCATTGCAACGCGTCTACCGTTTGTTTTACAAAACCGGCGTTGACAGTAGTCTTTTGATTCTTGAAAACTTCAGTTTTTCGACAGCAAAGTCATAACAAGATAAAATCAATCCATAACAATTTGGCAACCTAATTGGAGGGGATAACCTGGAGGTGGATGTTGACGACACAAGAGTTTGGTCAATCTGTATAGGAAGCTTAAATTAATCTTCAGTCAAATTCTCTAAAAAAGGAGATCATGGATAAATACATCATTTTAATTGAATATGTAGTTGGAGCTTTCTGTCTTTAATCACAATGCTTCAATTGTATGGGATTTGGCCACAAGGAGAAGACTTCCTGTCCCATATGATATAGGGTGTACCATTTACAACAAAACTGGCTAAATATCTGATGCCAAGTTTTTTTTTTTAAATCACTAGTATACGTAATTTGATTTTCAAAGGGGGAAGTTTGCTGCAACTATTTTTAGCACTTCAACTTAAACCCCCTAGGCGGGGTGGGACCAACCCTTAATATTGTAAATGGAACAGAAGGTCGAGTGATACCTCTTTTAAAAGAGCGTTCAATCCTCTTTCATTTGATATCATTTGAAAGAAAATTGAACACTCTCTTAAAACAGGTATCACTCGACCCTCTGTTCCATTTGGAATGGTTAGGGTTGGTCCCACCCCCCTAGAGGGTTAAGTTAGTGCTGAAAATGTTTCAAACACTCACACAATCAAATTACGTGTATGTACAAGCGATTTTTGAATTAATAAAATTGACATCAGATATCTAGCTTGTTTCATTTTAAATGGTATGCCCTGTATAATATTGTATCCAAATTGTGTTCTGGTCGCATTCCCATACTTAATAGAATTAATTTTGTGAAATTTAGGTTTGTTTATTTTAATTCTTCTTTGCAGTTTTTATCCGAACTAACCAGACTGTTCCAAAAAGCCCGTTTAGATGGATCAGTTACTATGACATTTAAAAGATGTAAGTATTGAATTATGTTAATCTGGAGGTTGACTACTAAACACTATTTTATTGAATGTGCCTTGCAACCTATCTATTACAAACGAAATGAATTGATGTTATATTTTTTTTCAATATAAACTTAGCTCTAGAATTTTATATACTTTTCAGTAAACACAGATTAATGACCTACAACCACAGATAGACGGATTTATAAACAAAAATATATGTTGACAACATGTCCGATTCTTTCTATCCTGACGAAACTCCTCCACTACTAAAATGCCACATTTAGTTGTAGGAATATTTATTTTCTCTTTCTAACGCAGGTATAAAGTCCTGTTGAGGCCGGACTAAGATCGGGCGACTTATCCCCACTATGGACCGCCCGCACCCCAAATCTCCCCTGGCCTATAAACATGTTGTCAACACAACAAATAGTATTTTATGAATGGAATACTCTGTCTATCTGTGATAATAGATCATTGACACAGATACATTTTAAGGTAGAAATTGAAATTAGCAAGGACAGTTAACATTTGTGGAACTTTAAACATTTGTTTTTATATTCTCTTTTGAATATTCACTATTTTAAAACATAAAAATACCTTCCTCTAGTTTTCAGTCCCCAGATTCTATCCTAATATGTTTTGGGCTTATATTTAAAAAAAATTCACACTGAAACTTTCCTCTATCAAATACCAGGGTTGGCAAATATCATGATATTTATATAAATATCCAAATATCAGATATATATCGATATATATCGGATATATATCGGATATATATCAAAATTTGGATATTTATTTATATTTTTTATTATTTTAATTAGTTCATCTGTTTTCTGTTATCTATACTATAAAAAATTCAAAATAACTTTATGGTGAATTTAATAGAATGTTACAAACATGTAAAGTTGGTATGGCGATAACAAGTTTTAGTGCTCCTGTCCTATTTTCCAAACATACATATAGGAATGTAAAGTGTAGTAGGTAAATGAAAATCCGAGTTCAAGAATATGGAACACAATGTTATTAAATACTACTTATGTTTGCCTTAAGCCGTGGTTCAACAACAACAAAAAATGACAACTCTAAACTCAACAACAAACAGAAATCTACAACTTAGGGCGGGTATTATAAAACTATTTCGATAGAATAATTAGAAGTTAATTTCTGGAATGACGTTACTTCTCATAGTAATTCCAAGTTAACTTTTAGTTATCTGTCAAAATAGTTTCATAATACCCACCCTAAAAACCTAATATTTCTTATACCTAAACAAATAAAAATAAATAAAATCGCTGTGATTTCCTTCTCATAAATAAAATAATAAAACTATAAGATAGAAAAAAAAAGGCCATACAAATACATATTATTGATATATATCACGATATTTATAGCATAAATATCATGACATTTATCAAGATATATATCAGGATATTTATCGCTGATATATATCCTGCCAACCCTGTCAAATACTGAGAATACTTTTTCAGATGATGGTCGTACTCGTCCCATTCCAAGAGAAGACAAACCACCGCTGCCAGAAGCTACGGAACACATGTGCTTAGTACGAGCGAAATTTCGATCTAAAAAAATAGCTACGGTAATACATCAGAAAGACGTTAACAAATTTCAGGTAGCTTATAGCAGTTTACTCAAAGGGAATTTAGACGGGCTTAAAAAATTGAAGAAACCGAAAACGAAAACGAAGGTCGAATCATAAATTTGTTATATGAATAAAATATTTTTGTATATTTTGTTATTATTTTTAAACTGCTGAGGAAATAGTTTTTAAGAATAAACTATATGGTATTAATAATAATTGTTTTTGGGTAAAATTAATAAGTAAAAAATTTGCAAACATTTATATTATCAACCTTTAATTACATTATTGGCAGAAGTGCTAATTGTTTTGTTATAAGACATAAATATTATTCAAAATCTAAATCATTTGTACGTTGGGCATTCTTCTATCAAAAAGAGAACAGTGACTTTTCCAACGTTGATGCACATCTCCGGTCCGCATTAGACAATCATTGGCACAGTTTAACAGAGGATCTCCTTTGAAACAAGCATCACAGATCAGAATGCATTCGTCAATTGGATCCAAGTACGGTGCAGAAACAGCTTGGTGAGCCATTACAATGATGACTAGAGCGGCAAAGTAAATGTGGGCCCTGAAAACTAAAGGAATCCCTGTATTGAGGACTCAAAATTATGAAAGGGTTTAAAGAGGAATAAAAATGAATTATACTCCTGTGGTCTCAGCCTTAAGGAAATTAGTATTAGTACTTTGAGCCTCTATAGGAATAATTTGTAACACCCATAGCGATTAATTTTCTGTTAAATGGACATAGAAGTCTATAATTCCTTGCTTATCAGATTATCGAGTAACTTTGTTAAAACTTTAATGATTCTCATCAATATTCTGTTCAGAAATGAAATAAAACTATATTTCCAGTTCTAGAAATGTTCAACAAATTCCAAAAAATAAAATACACTCGAAACAATTATTGTATTTTATTAGTGAGAGAAAGCGTTGTATGCTCCGGGCAATTTTCGCCACAACCGAACAAAATCCAATCAATAAATTAAAACTCACCCATTTTAAATTGAATGCAACCTGGCCGGACGGATCGAGTTCCTTTTACGTTTTTAGTCGGTTCCGTTCAGCACCTGCCCAATTTCCCGTAAAATACTTTTTCAACGTACAATGCAACGCGAACACCTCTTGCTGACATAACACCGCAAGGGCAATAAAGGGTTCTTTTTATATAGGGACGCCAGAGGTAATTAAAACGTCGTCTAACCCTCGATAACAATAAAAAATTTATTTACGGGTTGTTGATTAAACAAATGAAATATTGTGGAGCAATAAAAAGAAGTTTTATGAAATCGGAATGAATATGTTTTCCCGAGGAAAGTAGATAATGGAAAAATCGGTTATTGTTTTGACTAATATAATAGATGAAATATTGTTTTGATTCCCTAGTTAGCAGTTTAAAGCAATATAACTTCAATAACTGAAATAGTGCATTTTGAGTAGACTTTTGAAGTAGGTACCTACCTACCTAAAAAAATAAGGTTTTCGTCTGGTAGCATTTAGAACTGTCCCATTCACAGACATTCATGGAGTCCTGATCTGGAGTCCTAATTATCCAAAGGACAAAGAAGTAAAAGTCTTTCCTCTCACAAGAATTTTCCATTCACAGACATTCATGGAGTCCTGATGTGGAGTCCTAATTATCCAAAGGACAAAGAAGTAAAAGTCTTTCCTCTCACAAGAATTTTATTGTGGTTTCCCAGACAGCCTACAAAAACGCACCTACTTATTTTTTAGGTCTGCATTACGTCGCAACACCGAAGACCAAAAAAAAAAGCGTCTGTAACCTGGAAGACGTGGTTTAGGAAATGTCTATAAGATATCGTTAATTCACATCTTAGACAACTATTTGATATAACCAGGCCTAAAAGGAAATAATGGTTTAGGTATTGAAGAGAGATTCAAAGACGTCTTTAGGACATCTCGTTGAAGACGTCTTTGAAATGTCTTTATCCAAAAGACGACTTTAGAGGCAGACTTCAAAATGTCGATTTTGGGCTCTAATTGACACAGGTGCAGATTTGTGTTTAATGTCAGAAAAATTTCCTTATCTGTTTGAAGAAAAGGTAATCTCTTGTAACATGGTGCTCAAAGGAATTGCCTTGTCACTATTACTGCCACAAAGAAGTTCACAGATTTTACAAAAATCTCTGGAATCGAAATTCCCATAACATACTTCTTTGTTTCTGACATATGTTTGGATTATGATGTTTTGATTGGACGTGATATCCTCGAGGATCAAAGCTTGGTTACTATCACTGATCATCAAGGTTCACGAACAGAACGTCTACAACTGCCAGGAATAAATAGGATTTTAGACACTTTCGCTTTTGGGAAATTTGATGTTATTGTTCCTTCGTAATTCCAGCATAAACTAAAGGAAGTACCTACTGGACGACTTCGGCGGTATGATTACAAGTGGAACCACAGCAGCTGATGCAGTTAACAATGTCACTTTGAAGATCCGGTTGGAAAAAGATGTTGTGATTAATCGTCCCCCATATTGATTGTCAGCCACTGAAAAAGAAGTTGTTTGTGGAATAATTGATGATTTGTGAGTGAATTCCCATTTGCCAGTCCCATCCTATTGGTGAGAAAGAAAAAAGGCGCCTACCGCATGTGTATAGACTTCCGAGAACTCAATCGAATGACTATTAAAGACAGATATCCTTTGCCACTTATTAAGGATCAATTGGACAGGTTAAGACAGGGTCGATGAAGAATCGATCCAGAAAATAGCTTTCATGACTCCCGAAGGGCATTTCGAATAATTAAGGATGCCTTTTGGCCTTGCTAATGCACCTGCCGCATTCTAGAGAGCAGTTAACCTTGCTCTCGGAAAATTGAAAGATTCTGCGTTTTGGTCTACATGGATAACATTTTAATTCCTAGTCATACACCAGAGGAAGGCGTAGTCCATTTACCTCTTGTCCTAGAAGCAGTAGGTACTGCCGGGTTCTCCTTGAATATTCAGAAATGTCGATTTCTTCAGCCTACTTTAGAATATCTCGGTAGGGAAATTTCAGGTGATGGTATCAGACCGGGAAAATCAAAGATACAAGCACTGTTGGAGTTTCTGTACCAGAAAACGTCAAACAGGTTCGTCAGTTCATGGGTTTTGCAGGATATTTCAGGAAGTTTGTGCTTGATTTTGCTAGAAAAACAGCATGTATAACGAAGCTGACCAAACAAAACGTGTCAGTTCAGTGGAACGAAGAACAGGAGATTGCACGACGACGGTATGTGATCGAGCACCTAACATCGAGGCCGTTGCTAGCAATTCAGAACCCGGAGTTAGTGGCGTATTTACGATTTTCATCTGGGTGGGGTTGGTATCTTATTTCAGTAAAAAGACTACAGAGTGTGAATCCAAATACCATTCTTACGAATTGGAAACCTTAGCGAAAGTTCAAGCTGTCAAACAGTTTCGCACTTACTTGCTTGGTGTGAGATTTGTGATAATTACCGACTGTGATTCCATTAAGGCGACAATTATCAAAAAAGATTTATTATCCCGATGATGGGTATATTTGCAAGATTTCGATTTTGAGATAAATCTACCGTTTAAGGAAGCAGTTTACCACATGTACTGATTACCTTAGGAGAAATCCCATTATCCGGAGAGTCACGAATAACGATTGCCAATATATGGAACAAAAAGGTAGCGAAGAAATACGAAACCTAATAAAACAACTTAGAAACGGCGACCTCGACTCAAATCAGTACGTTGAAAAGGAGGACATGCTGTATCATAAGCATTCTAACCCTGACGGAACAACAAACATTGGTTTGTTCCTAGACAGAGTCGCTTGAGCCTCCTTCGAATTTTCCACGATGAGCGATGCGATGTTGGCTATCAAAAGACTTATGATTCGATCTCTGAACACTTCTGGTTTCCTCACATATGCGAGTTAGGCTAGTAAAACTAGCTTATTTTCAGCTGAACCTCAAACAAATTCGCTACAAGCTAATTTTGGCGCCATTGTGTTTATTTTGAAGTTTTAAATAACTGGCTAAAAATCCCAAACAATCTGAAATGGGGCGCAGCCCCTAAATCATCCCCAAAAGTACATTTTTTAAGTTTTTTGCAATTTTCTTAAAATCACCAAGTTTTTCGAAAAATTTGCAAGAAACCTTTTTTGTAGAGCACAAAATTTGGAATTTTTTGGTATAACACAGTTGATTATCTAAATAAGCTTAAGATATAAGAGAGTATAAAAATATAAAAAAGTAAGATTTAAATTTGTATTGGTCTTATTTAGTGATATTTGCCTATATTACTTAACTGGTGTTTACAATTCGGAATATTTATTGTTATAACCAATCAAAAGTCGGGAAAATTGAAAAATTGAATTTTTAAGCCAATTAAGAATCGGAAATATTCGAACGATGAATTTTAAAACGTCAAATTAAGTCAATCCAGAACCGGGAATATTTAAAAAATTGAATTTTAAAGCAAATCAAGAGCCGGGAATTTAGAAATATTGAATTTTTAAGCCAATCAGAAGCCGGGAAAATGAAAAAATGAATTTTCACGCCAATTAAAAATCGGAAATATTCGAACATTGACTTTTAAAACGTTAAATAAAGCCAATCAAGAGTCGAGAATATTTGAAAATTGAATTTTAAAGAAAATCAAAAGCCGGGAATTTACAAATATTGATTTTTTAAGTCAATCCGAAGCCGGGAAAATTGAAAAATTTGATTTTTAAACCAATTAAGAATCGGAAATATTCGAACGATGAATTTTAAAACGTCAAATTAAGCCAATCAAGAACCGGGAATATTTAAAAAATTGAATTTTAAAGCAAATCAAGAGCCGGGAATTTACAAATAATGAATTTTTAAGCCAATCACAAGCCGGAAAAATGAAAAAATGAATTTTCAAGCCAATTAAGAATCGGAAATATTCGAACATTGACTTTTAAAACGTTAAATAAAGCCAATCAAGAGTCGGGAATATTTGAAAATTGAATTTTAAAGAAAATCAAAAGCCGGGAATTTACAAATATTGATTTTTTAAGCCAATCCGAAGCCGGGAAAATTGAAAAATTTGATTTTTAAGCCAATCAATAACCGGAAATATTCGAACATGGAATTTTAAAACGTCAAATTGAGTAAATCAAGAGCCGGGAATATTCGAAAATTGATTTTTAAAGCAAATCAAGAGCCGTTAATTTACAAATATTGTATTTTTAAGCCAATCAGAAGCCGGAAAAATTGGAAAAATTGAATTTTTAAACCAATTAAGAAACGGAAATTTTCGAAAATTGAATTTTAAAACGTTAAATTAAGCCACTCAAGACCCGGGAATATTCGAAAATTGAATTTTAAAGCAAATCAAGTGCCGGGAATATTCCAAAAATTGAATTTTAAAGCAAATCAAGAGCCGGGAATTCACAAATATTGAATTTTTAAGCCAATCAAAAGCCGGGAAAATTAAAAAATTGAATTTTTAGGCCAATTAGGATTCGGAAATATTCAAACATTGAATTTTAAAACGTCAAACCAAGCCAATCAAGAGCCGGGAATATTTGAAAATTGAATTTCAAAGTAAATTGAGAGTCGAGGATTTACAAATACATATTGAATTTTTAAGCCAATCAAAAACCGAGAAAATTGAAAAATTGAATCTTGAAACCAATCAATAACCGGAAATATTCGAACAATGAATTTGGAACTATAAAAAGGATGAGTAGACTCGAATAAACATAGAACACTGAACCGAGTCACCGCATCTTAAAAAGATGTCGCGTTCTGATCGCGATGCTCCCCTCTCCCTCACCGGTAATTATTATTGATTTTAACATGTTAGTTCGCTGTTATTTGAGAT